CTTAGGTTCACTACTCATCAATGGAATACAGCGTAGCATGACAGATCATCGTGACGGTTAGATCTGATGGAACTAATGAGTGTAGTTCGCCTGAGCACTTTCTATGGAAGCATCTATAGAGTAGTGAGAGTCTTGCTACATACCGTCTGTGAGAGACAGGGTGGAAAATAATTTATCACCCACAAGGGCTCGGAGACGCTTTTGGACTCGAGATTACAAAGTGAGGAACGGGCAGCTCCTGTCTAAATATGACAACAGTACTCCATTTTAGGCCTGATCTGATTCTTGTAAAGGTTGAGGATAGTACGAGGAGTCAGGTACCTGCTGAAGCAGTACAAGGAAGTGACCATTTTTTTTTGTCAGTGGAAAGTGTCATGATGCCATTTCTAACCTTAGGTCCCTGGGCGGGACCCGGAAAGAAATGTGTAAACGCCAGAAATCAAAGAAAATAATAATAATAATAATAATAATAATAATCTCTGGTGTACCAGCTCTCTAGGAAATCCAAAAATACTTCTTACAAGCATGGATCATAATTCCTGTAAAAAGCCTTGTTCCTTTAATTAAAAAAAATATTAAAAACTGTTTTGTTTTTGTGGAAACAACAAAAAATCCCATCCTTTGCTTGCCAGTGGGTCATTGGTTATGACTCGATATGTGATTATAAAAGAAATGCAAGTGAAAAAGAATTTTTTGCAATATTAATAATAATAAATATTTGTTACTATCATCGCTACTACCACATTCCCTGAACTTTTTCTCTCGTAAATAAACTTTAATCTAAATCGCGTGTCTAATAACATCATCAACCAATCTTCCTACTATACAGTTTCTGACCACCCTTCTTTTATTTCTAATAAGATGGATAAATGGCAAATCAAATAAAATCATTACCATTTCTTATCTTCTGGCAATTAATATTAATAACAGTGAGTAGTTGATCTAATAGTATAATCGTCATTACATTAAGATTACAATATACCCTCTGTCCTTTCTTAGCTTAAATAATATTAAAAATAAATCTTATGGTTAATAATAGCCTCACTTTTACGAGTGCATTATCCTTAGATATTTTAAATAACATTAAAAATAAATGATATACCTAGGAATCTCTATTACGAGTACAATATTGTCTCTCTTTTTCTTATCACGAATAGAAATAAGTATCATATCTAAGAATAGCGTTGCTATTAACAGTATAGTATTGTTTATGTATTTATCTTAAATAATAATAATAATAACAATAAAAATAATGAATGATTCATCTAAAACTTTCATGCCCACTCTCGTATGCGTATGGTGTAAATACGCAACGAAATATCAGTTTTAATCTAATGTATGTTCTTGTGCAAGGCATATTTTTCAATTTGGTTATTCTTATCATCAGCGCATTATCGGCTCCTGTCAATTACCGAGATTTTTTGAGGATAGCTTGGTTCAGTCGTTTCGATGTCCTCTTTGGAATGCCCGATCTGGCGGAAACTGCTGATACCTCCTGCCCTTATCTACAATTTCATGACGGAGGAAACAGTGACGCCAACACTGACACCGATGTACGCAATATGGAAGGTCGTCTTCAGATGACGTTGCAAGAAGTGAAGGAGCACGTCTTCGGCTCAGTAAGTAAAAACCAGGTTATCCTTATGGTTTAACAGTAAAGTCGTTAAGGCATTTGACTTCCGGTATTTCTCAGAAACGAAGGGTCACATTGCCCCTTTGGGCTTCCAACTTTTCTTGGTTCCTTTTATAACTGAATAAAAAAACTCAGATAACCTAAATAAAAATTAGACAAGCTAAAATGCAAATATTTGTGTAAACTTTTGCATTAAACTCATGTATAAACCCATAAAACATTTTTTAATTTCATGAGGGAATTTCGTTTTTACATCATTTGTCACCTTCAGAATAAATATCTTAGATTATAATAAGAGACGGTAGAAAATTGCGACACAGAAATCCTAAGGCACATGCGCACTTCGACTTGGTTTAATGTTTAGCAAACTTGTTTCGTTGGATCAATCTGCATCATTTACGACAGAATAGATCCGCACTGGGTGCTCCATAATCTCGTATTTGTTCTACATCAAAGCTGCGCTTAGTAAAATCCCTAATCCGGAGGCGTATCGAAATAACGAAAGAGGTCCTGTAAAACGAATAAGAAACAGGAAAATCCTTCAATAAATGCTAGACAATTTCTTCACAGGTGTCTTTTTTTTTTTACAATAAACAACGATAAATAAAAAATAAGACCTAATATAGAGTGTCTCATTATTTGCGGATTCTCTTTCCGTGGTTGCAGTTAGCCACGTTTAATCTCAGAAGTAAACGATTCATACATTTTACTTAATAGTGACAATGGCAATTTGGCCATGACAAGCGGAAGTTTTAAAGTATTTCCTTTAAGTGAGACGATCAGACCCAGAACTTTCATCAATCGTGATGAACGGATGTTCCCTCAGTGAGGCCTCGTGCCTTGAACACCTATTGGGACAAACTCAGCCCAGAGCCTGAGTGAACTTCGTACATACGATCTATCGGTTAAGATGCTGGAAAAAATGGTCGCTTTCCTGTGCCATTCCAGCAAGTACCTGACTCTTTTTGCTAACCTCTGCCTTTAGAAGGGCCAGACCAGACCAAAAATGGAGTACTGCAGCCATATATGATGGGCAGGAGCTGTTCAGTTTTCAGTTTCCACTCTCGATAGAGTCCAAAAGCCTCTCTGCGTCCTTGTAGGCGACGAATTATTTTCCAACCTGCAGCTTCTTTCTCACAGATGAAACGTCGTAAGGCTTTCACTGTTCTATCGTTATTTCCATGGAGAGTGTTTAGATGAACTACAATTCTTTGTTTTACCAATCCTAACCTTCACGGCTAAGACCTGCCATGCTACGCACATTGTAGCAATCCGCCTTTTCATATTCCTTTGGTGAGACAGAAGTTCCACTTGAACAGCTTCTTCTCACAAACCACTGCCTTGTGGAACCGACTCCCAAGGGGATACTTCCCCTATCACTACAATGTTAACCCTGTTCAAGTCTAGGGTTAACCGTTTTCTTCCACAAATACCCACATAAGCCATACCTCTTACTCTACCTCGAGTGGCCCTTGGGCCTTGTTCCGAGTGAACAACATTGTAAAAAAATAAGAATTCTCGGAAAAATAAACAAACAAAAAAAAAACACCGTATACTTAGGTTGCTAAGATCTAAAATATGCTTTGACTATAAAATTGTCCCTAAAATTTCAACTGTCTTATTCTGATCCTTAGCAAAACGATCTTTTTGTCCCTATTTTCCTTAAGACCTCCATGTTGCTCAAATGTCCAGTCCATGGTATTCTCAGTATCCTTCTGTAGAACCACATCTCTGCTACCTAAAATCCACCTTTCATCTAAAAGGAAATTGTTTAGTATTCACGGCTATATAAGAGGATTTTCCTATTTGTTAATACCTTGTTTAGCTTTAAGAAGACAACTTTCACCCTGCAATCACTTGGGATTTTTGTGTCACATTTTCTATCGTCTTTTACAATTATACTCTTTATCATTATGTATTAGCAATGGTAAGACATTAGTGGCAATGGTGTCTTCATCTAGTTCAGGGGTTCCCAACTTTTTTGACGTCATCATCGACTTAGACATGGACAAATTTTCCATCGCTTACCTGTATAATAAATATTCAAATGCATACAAAAATTGTTTGGTTATAGTTACTAGTTCGTAAACTAATTTTATGATGTAAACATTACCAAAGGAAGGTAATAAATAATTCTGAGTTATGTGGCTGCTACTATTACCGTATTAAAGAACAGACGAAAGTAAACTTCACTATTGAAAACTATAATTTAGTCTCATTGTCAAGGTTAGTTTTATGGTTAGCGTTTCAAGTGTTGACAAAATATTAAACGATTTTTGTTTATAGTTATAAAATTAAAAATATATACACTACTAGCAACTAATAAAAATTCGCAGAATATTTTTGTTATGTCTAATACTGAAGAACGATTTGAAGATTTCAAAATGTTCCTTGTTTTCGAGGATATTTATATCTTATCTAGGAATGTAACTCAGTTATTTCCATTTAGCCTCCTGATTTTTTTTTAGATGAGTTCTTTGCATATATCCTTTGAATATTTTTTTTCGGGTAGCATATTTTGAAATACCTATTTAGTTCTCAAAATCCTATATCGCCCACAAAAAATTTCCAACCATTTACCATTTTTGTTCAGTTGCTCACCGCTCACCTACCGATGGGAGATATCACCCATGTTGGGAAACCCTAATCTAGATAATTGTTATACTGGAACACACCTATTCTATAGTTAATAGACTCTCCCACCTATAATAATAGGAGTAGTAGTAGTAGTCGCTCAGTGAGATGGTCAGTGAGTCGATGTCGGACGACCGTTAGTCGGATATTAATGTATCAGCCACCACAACTAGATTACTGCGTCATTACCTATTATATCAAGTTCCTAACGTTTTGTACGTCGAACCTATTTTAGGACCGACTTAGTACAAATACAAGCCTCCACTGTGAAACCACTACATGATAATAATGTCTTACTATTGGGGAAGTATTTCTAGGAGGTATATGTGGGAGATAAATCTGCCGCACTCTGTGTTTTACTCTGCTTAATTTATGAATTAAATTTTATGGGTTTACATAGGGAAAATGATATGGAAATGTTTCCGTACTTTAGGCCGTTTAACCCAATATATACACATTCCTTTACTTTGTAGGGAATGAATTAGGGACACATTCATGTATTAATTCGAATCTTTGTTACAAAGAAGTATAAACGAAATATTAATGGCACTTTTCTGTGGCACAAATCAATGGGCATCAAGTTGGACCGTTCCTCGAATCTTTTGCCGATTCAAAGCCAAGCTTAGTGATTACCTGTACACCAAACATTAAACTATATAACAGAAGCTACATTTTCATTACCATATTCTTCCTTGCTTCTTAAGTCAATAAAAATAGCTTACAGACAGATCACGTTGAAACACCGGTTCTCGTAAGGTCACCAAAGTTAAGCAATGTCGAACCTGGTCAGTACTTAGATAGGTGACCTCTTGAGAATACCAAATGCTGTAAGCTTGCACGTGTGGCCGGTGTAATAGATAATGGCTCAGAATTGTTAATCGGATAGACGAGTTCTGATTCTCGTTGGGTTTGTTATATTCACTTATTAGCAAATACTTTGGGAAGGGAATGAATCTACCTCTTCTCCTCTGCTATGGGTTAATTAGTAAGATTTATATCAGTAAAAATTAACATCACCCCCAAAATTGTTATAATCTAAAAATATTTTCTGGCTTTAAATAACCTGCAAAATGGTTGATAAGCTGTAAAAATCAAATAAATCAATCAAATTATATGATACTTTTTATATATACTTTTATAATTATTTTATCTTTTATTATATTTACTATATATCATATTTATAACATACATTATATATCACCTGCAAAGGGCTGATAAGCCGTAAAAATACTAATCAATCAATCAAATCAATAATTCTATTGTTTCTTGTAGTATCATGGCATGCAGCGATTTAAAGACTTTCTGGTCAACACTGCCGGTTGCCATCTTGTCAAGTTCTGGTTGCATTGCGAGCTTTTCAAAGACTGTACGGAAGACCAAGAGGATCAGAATGTGAACCGAAAAAGAAACCGGCTTTTCAGGTATAATATTTTATGAATGTACAATTACAATCAACGGTAGCTGAAGAAACGACTCGTGGGTATTAAAGCACAGATTCTTCTAGTTCCACGTGCCACGCCTCTTCCAGATATCTCAGTATCAGTTGTTTCCCTTTATCTCAACACTCCAAGTTATTGTTCACCTCTGCTTTAGCCAGGTATTGAACTCACAACTTGGGTCTAGCCAATGGATGACTTCAACCAACGCTTTTATCCACTGTGCCACGTGCCCTCAAGGAACTAGAACAATTTACCCTGGTAGACGAAATAAAGGTTTTGGTTCAAAATTCCAATCACCAAAAGAAGGCCAGAGAGTACAACGGCCGAAATGTCGTGAATATTGCAACAAAGATGATGACAACAGTCCGAACAGTGTAAATAATGTAAAAGCCCAGTGATTTAATTTGTTTTAGGCTTAAGGTCATATACGTTGAATCACTAGTTCCAGTACAATCATCGAAGTTAAGCAGCGTCGAGATTGGTCAATACCGAGATGGCTTCCCGCTTGAGAATACCAGGTCCTGTAACCTTGAATGTGCTTTTGGTGTAATGGATAATGACTGGGAATTTTTAATTGAAGAACCAAGTTCCAATTCCACTTGGGTTCATTATATTCACTTACGCGCAAATGTCGTTGGGAAAGGTATAAATCCACTTCTTTCCTCCATCAATGAATTAATTAGTAGAACTTGTATCAGTAAATCATTATTATCTATAAACAAAAAAATTCTTACAATCTAAAAATATTTCCTGGCTTTAAATAACCTGCAAAGGGTAGATAAGCCATAGAAAACGAATGAATCAATCAATTACTTTTTTCTTCTCCGACTGTGAATGTCAGTTGGGCGTAGGCCATCTCCAAATTCATGGCGGGGAGAGGTGATGAGCCATTACCCTACCGCGCATGCCCGATGCGCGTTGATAGGGGTAGATGTGATACACTTGGCCGATCATGGCTCTTTTCGATTCATGATGGCCCAAGGGTGTATATAAATGTAAGGAAACCAACTTGAATTCGATTCTCTGATTTCTCACCCCGAGCCGTTGTCCATTACACCACCTGCACTTACAAGCTTGCAGTACCTAAATACACCTTACACCATCTAATTGCTGACCAGGCTCGACGTTGCTTAACTCCATTTTCTCTGTTAGTATCCTTAATTCCTGATCACCTGGTAATTTCTTGAATTTTGAATATGCAAAATACAAAGGAGAAATACAGGCTGTGGCAGAAATACCTCTCACATATTCCGCCCAGAAATACCGCCAAGACATTCCTCCCAGAAATACTTCCAAGATATTCCCCCCAGAAATACAAAATATTCCTCCCATAAATACCTCCCAAATATTACTCCCAGAAATACCTCCAACATATTCCTCCCTGAAATATCTCCCACGTATTCCTCACAGAAATACCTCCAGCATATTTCTCCCAGAAATACCTCCCACGTATTCCTCCCAGAAATACCTCCAAAATATTCCTCCCAGAAATATCTCCCAAGTATTCCTCCCAGAAATACCTCCAACATATTCCCCCAGAAATATCTCCCACGTATTCCTCCCAGAAATACCTCCAACATATTCCTCCCAGAAATATCTCCCACGTATTCCTCCCAGAAATACCTCCAGCATATTTCTCCCAGAAATACCTCCCACGTATTCCTCCGAGAAATACCTCCCACATATTTCTCCCAGAAATACCTCCAATATATTCCTCCCAGAAATATCTCCCAGGTATTCCTCCCAGAAATACCTCCAACATATTCCTCCCAGAAATATTTTCCACGTATTCCTCCCAGAAATACCTCCAACATATTCCTCCCAGAAATTTCTCCGACGTATTCCTCCCAGAAATACCTCCAACATATTACTCCCAGAAATACCTACCACGTATTCCTCCCAGAAATACCTCCCACATATTCCTCCCAGAAATATCTCCCACGTATTCCTCCCAGAAATACCTCTAACATATTCCTCGAAAGAAATACCTCCCACATATTCCTCCCAGAAATACCTCCAACATATTCCTCCCAGAAATATCTCCCACGTATTCCTCCCAGAAATACCTCCCACGTATTCCTCCCAGAAACACCTCCCACGTATTCCTCCCAGAAATACCTTCCACGTATTCCTCCCAGAAATACATCCAACATATTCCTCCGAGAAATATCTCCCAAGTATTCCCCACAGAAATACCTCCAACATATTCCTCCCTGAAATAACTCCAACGTATTCCTCCCAGAAATACCTTCAGCATAATCCTCCCAGAAATATCTCCGACGTATTCCTCACAGAAATACCTCAAACATATTCCTCGCATAAACACCTCCAAAATATTCCTCCAGAAATACCTCCCACATATTCCTCCCAGAAATATCTCCCACGAATTCCTCCCAGAAATACCTCCCACGTATTCCTCCCAGAAATACCTCAAACATATTCCTCCCAGAAATATCTCCCACGTATTCCTCCAAGAAATACCTCTCATATATTCCTCCCAGAAATACATCCCACGTATTCCTCCCAGAAATTCCTCCCACATATTCCTCTCTGAAATACCTCCCACATATTCCTCCCAGAAATACCTTCCACGCATTCCTCCCAGAAATACCTCCAACATATTCCGCCGAGAAATATCTCCCAAGTATTCCTCCCAGAAATAACTCCAACATATTCCTCCCTGAAATACCTCCAACATATAAATCCCTGAAATATCTCACACGTATTCCTCCCAGATATACCTCCAACATATTCCTCCCAGAAATACCTCCCACGTATTCCTCCCAGAAATACCACCAGCATATTCCTCCCAGAAATATCTCCCAAGTATTCCTCACAGAAATACCTATAACATATTCCCCCAGAAATATCTCCCACGAATTCCTCCCATAAATACCTCCCAAATATTCCTCCGAGAAATACTTCCAACATATTCCTCCCAGAAATACCTCCCACATATTTCTCCCAGAAATATCTCCCACGCATGCCTCCCAGAAATACCTCCAACATATTCCTCCCAAAAATACCTCCCACGTATTCCTCCCATAAATACCTCCCACGTATTCCTCCCAGAAACACCTCCAGCATATTCCTCCCAGAAATACCTCCAACATATTCCTCCGAGAAATATCTCCCAAGTATTCCCCAAAGAAATACCCCCAACATATTCCTCCCTGAAATAACTCCCACATATTCCTCACAGAAATATCTCACACGTATTCCTCCCATAAATACCTCCAACATATTCCTCCCAGAAATACATCCGACGTATTCCTCACAGAAATACCTCTAACATATTCCTCCCAGAAATATCTCCCACGAATTCCTCCCATAAATACCTCCCAAATATTCCTCCGAGAAATACTTCCAACATATTCCTCCCAGAAATACCTCCAACGTATTCCTCCCAGAAATACCTTCAGCATATTCCTCCCAGAAATATCTCCCACGTATTCCTCACAGAAATACCTCAGACATATTCCTCGCATAAATACCTCCCAAATATTCCTCCGAGAAATACTTCCAACATATTCCTCCCAGAAATACCTCCCACATATTCCTCCCAGAAATATCTCCCACGTATTCCTCCCAGAAATACCTCCAACATATTCCTCCCAGAAATACCTCCGACGTATTCCTCCCAGAAATATCTCCCACGAATTCCTCCCATAAATACCTCCCAAATATTCCTCCGAGAAATACTTCCAACATATTCCTCCCAGAAATACCTCCCACATATTGCTCCCAGAAATATCTCCCACGCATTCCTCCCAGAAATACCTCCAACATATTCCTCCCAGAAATATCTCCCACGTATTCCTCCCAGAAATACCTCCAACATATTCCTCCCTGAAATACCTCCCACATATTCCTCCCAGAAATATCTAACACGTATTCCTCCCGGAAATACCTCCAACATATTCCTCCCAGAAATATCTCCCACTTATTCCTCCCAGAAATACCTCCAACATTCCTCACAGAAATACCTCCCACATATTCCTCCCAGAAATATCTCCAACGTATTCCCTCCCAGAAATAGCTCCAACATATTTCTCCCAGAAATACCTCCAACATATTCCTCCCAGAAATACCCCCAACATATTCCTCCCAGAAATACCTCCCACATATTCCTCCCCAGAAATATCTCCCACGTATTCCTCCCAGAAATACCTCCAACATATTCCTCCCAGAAATACCTCCCACATATTCCTCCCAGAAATATCTCCCCACGTATTCCTCCCAGAAATACCTCCAACATATTCCTCCCAGAAATACCTCCCACTTATTCTTCCCAGAAATACGTCCAACATTCCTCCCAGAAATATCTCCCACGTATTCCTCCCAGAAATACCTCCAACATATTACTCCCAGAAATATCTCCCACGTATTCCTC